TCAACAAGATGGATTGACACAGTGGCTGCTGCAATGGACTCAAGTATAGCAAAGATGGCGGAGCTGGCGCGGGATCGGATGATGTTTCATTCTTCTTTGCATAGGGTTGCTATGAGTTGGAAATGACTGGCCAGCACCTAACAACAACAACAACAACATTTGTTAGCTAAGTTTAGACAGGTGTTTTGCTTGAACAAGAATGAGTTTGTTTTGTCATTAGATTCCTAAGTTTTTTCAGAGAATTGGATTCTGGTGTACTAACACCTCCCACAAAATGGCTTCCCTGATTTATTTGTGAAGAAGGAGACCCTAATGATTTCACTTAATATCAGACTGTCTGGATTTCAGTTTTCACCCCATCTCTCACTAGAAGGAGATTGTAGTCCTACTGTTCTCCTTACAGCAGTATCCCAGTTGATCCCATGTGTCAGAGTAGAACTGTGTTCCACAGGGTTTTCAATGGGTGATTTTCTAGAAGTAGATGGCCAAGTCTTCTTCCAAGGCACCTATGAGTAGATTCAAACCTCCAAACTTCTGGTTTGCAGCCAAATGTGTTCACCATCTGCACCACCCAGGGACTCCAAGGTTCTCATGAGCACGGTGTTAGGTAGTGGTTAAACACTCAGACATTCTACCACACAGGCTGGGTTAACATTACATCATCTCTAGTTAATAGTGGTGTGACCTTGGGCAAATGTCTCAACTGTTCTATCCCCAGTTTCCTCATCTGTAAAATGAGGATGATAATAGGACATATTTCACACAGTTGTTTTGAAGATTAAATGATGCTTGGAGCAGTGCATATAACAGAGTAAGTGTTATTTATCAATGATTATTGATTCTTTCCTGGAAGTTATCTCAAAAGTCCAGAATATAGGCACTCATTCCCTCAACACTGCTTTAGTATAAAGAGTTTATTCCCCGAGGTATGACTGGTGGGTGGTCAGGTATCTCAAATACTGAATATATCCGACATAAATACTTTTAATTAAGGAATCATGTGATAAGATGTTTTCTTCTGATTTTGATAAACTGTTTCTAAGGGTTATGAAAGTATATGTTGTGAGGATGGGTTAATTAGAAAGTTAAGTGGGAAGGTGAGTATTTGCCTTAGAGTCACTTGGGTGCTATTCAGCACATGTAGGAAAGAGGGAAGAGAAGACAGCTTAAAAGTCATTGCAGTTCAACTTTCCTGAACCAGTCCCACAGAGTTCAATAATACAGTATTGAGAATATCTGCCATTGGCCATCTTGTTATGGTTAGAATGGGGGAGACAAATTTCCTCACCCTCAAATAAGCCTATGGAGGATTTTCTGCTGAGTTTGCAACCTTTGATATCCCCATCAAAGCTTGAACCACAGGTTGGAGTATTAGGTTCATTTATGGTAAGCACAAAATATTATTTCACTGCAAGTTATGTTTGACTTGAAAGAGAGACACATTGTTCTTTGGTCTTGGGTGGCAAAAACTAAGCTGCCAAAGCCGAAAACCAAACTCACTGCCACTGAGTTGACTCTTCCTCATATCTACCCTGTAGGAGAGAGTAGAATTGCCCCATAGGGTTTCCATCTTTAATTCATAGGGTTACTTCCATCTTTATGGAAGTAAGCCTGCCTTATCTTTCTCCTGTGGGGCGATTGGTGGGTTCAAGCTGCTGACCTTCTGATTAACAGCTGAGCACTTTAATCACTGAACCACTAGGGGTCCTAAAATAAAGTAGCTCAAAAACTCATTGCTGTTGAGTCGATTCGACCCATAGCAAACCCTCCTTGGGTTTCCAAGGTGGTATCTCTACGGAAGTAGGTTGCCCAATCTTCCTTTTGAGGAGTGGCTGGTGGGTTTGAACCACCAGCCTTTTGGTTAGCAATCAGATGCCTTAGGCACTACACCACCAGAGTTCCCAAAATAAGAAATAAGAGTGCTTCTGAATTCCCACCCTCAGGGAGGAGTGATTAAGACAGCCATTGGAATTCTCCAATTGCTATTGTAGCCCAGCTCTCTCTTTTCCTTCTGCTTTCAAATCTCAGAAGGTTTTCCTTTACAATTATGGTGTTTCCAGGTCTTTTATTCCTTACTTCCATTTCTATGAGCATGCTGAGCCCAGAGATTGGACTTTATTAACTGTTTTATCCTCATTGCTTGGAACTCAATGTGTGAAGGAAGATTTATAATATTATAGAGATGTGAAAAAAAACAAAAAACAAAAAACTACAACTAGTTTACCTATTACATTTACCCCTGATTTCTAAAGACCATTGAATTAAACAGAAGAATTGGAAACCAGTTTCAGCTCCCATAGTAGGGGTACATTTAAAATGCAAAGATTGACCAGAACCAGTGAAGATGACTTGCAACAGAAAGAACTTTTATTGAAACCCCACCACAGAGAAAGCCACAGAAATGTTACTATTCTAATAACAGCTTATCTTAATTCATTGGGAGAAAAGCAGAAAACGTAAGAGGGTCCTTATTTAGGAACCTAGTTTCAATTTGGCAGCTTAATTTAGGGGCCCGTCTTTGTGGGTGCTGGAGTTCAGGAAGGCACTCTCTGTTCACTCTTGATGTTGTTGACTTTGGTGGATTTCTCTTCCACAGTGTGAACTCTGGGTAAGATGACTTTGCCACGGGGGTCAATTTCTTCAACAACTGTCTTAATTATGGTGGTTTTAGATGACTCTAGAATGACACATACGAACTGTTAGTTTATCAACTTCATAAATGGGAAATAATCAGCTCATCATTTGAAACATGTGCAAATGAGTACTGAATGCAATACAGCTTTTGTTTACCTTTCATCTGATTTCCTGGTCCCCCATAGCCTTTTGCTTTAACACAAGAGCTGTAAAAATATAGACTTTGCGTTAATTATTTCTCTCTGCCTTTTGCTGAGCAAATGGAAAAACAAGGATTTAAGATGGCAGTTCACTAAATTCTAAAATAATTCTCCATTATGACCAAGTTGATTCCTATTCATAGTAAGAACAGAGTAGAACTGTCCCATAGGGTTTCCAAGGCTATAAATCCTTATGGAGGCAGACTAGCACATCTTTCATGGAATGAAAGATTTCATGAAATCTTCGTGGTAGATTTGAACCACCAACATCTCAGTTAGCAGCAGAGTGCTTTAACCACTGCACCACCAGGGCTCTGCAATAACATTGTTGTTGTTAGGTGTCATCCAGTTGATCCCAACCTGTAGTGACCCTATGCATAGCAGAACGAAACAGCCGGTCCTGCGTCATCCTCATAATCACTGCCATGCTTGATCCCAGTGTTGCGGCCACTGTGTAGTGTCTTCCAACTTGAGGGGCTCATTTCCTGGCACTGCATCAGGCAACATCCCACTGCTGTTTATAAGGTTTTCACTGGCCAATTTTTCCGGAAGTAGATCACCAGCTCCCTCTTCCTAGTCTGTCTTAGTCTGGAAGCTCCACTGAAATCAGTTCACCGTGGCTGACTGCTATAACATTAGAAGTGGTCTTATGTATACATGATCTAGATCATAGATACAGTAAACTCTGTGACCACGTGTAAGGTGGGAACCTGTTAGACAAGGAAAACTCAAATATTTTCCACTAATAGAGAGACAGAAAAGTGGGAGGAGCACATTCAGTCAAAGGTGAAAAACTTGTGAGACCCAGAAAAACAAGGCAGTTCTGTCGAGTTGTGGCTCTCACAGGTTTCATTATACATGCTTTGTGCTTGATTTTACATGATCGTTAATAACCCTGGGGGTCCCAGAGTGGTGCAGATGGTTAATGCATGTGCCTGCTGACCGAAAGGTTAGAGGTTTGAGTCCATCCAGAGGCGCCTTGGAAGGAAGTCCTAGCACTCTACTTTCAAAAATGAACCACTGAAAACCCTACAAAGCACAGTTCTACTCAGACCCACAGGAGGTAGCTGTGGAGCTCACTCAATGGCATCTGTTGCTTGTTTGTTTTAAAATAAATTGTTTCCTCAGCAGAAATGGTACTCACCCATCCTCTCCATCTATCAAGCGGCAGTAGGTCTCGATCTCCTTCTCCAGATGGACCTTGATGTCCAGGAGCTGCTCGTACTCGAGTTTCTGGCCCTCGGTCTCGGTCCTGACCTGATGCAGCTGCTCTTCCAAGGCCCCGATCTGAGCCTGGATCTGAGCGAGCTGCGTACAGTAGTTGCCTTCGGTCTCCGTCAGTGAGCACTCCAGGGAGTGTTTCTGTGGATTTGTGCAACAGAATTTAGTAGAAAACGCCTCATGTAAATTTTAGAATACAGCAAGTTACACACTTAAGAGATATTTAGAAGAGTTATCTTTACATAATGCAAATATCCAGTCACCCAAGAGATACCAACTTGTTCAATATTAATTATTGCCTTTATTAGATGTCATACTATTTTTTCTATTTGAGAATGACACAATTGGTGGTGAATGTGACTCCTTCACCCAGGTGTGTTAGAAAAGATGAAATTGTATCCTCTAAAGATACTGTCCTACTACTAAAGTAGACTGTGTTTTCAAAGTCTGGCAGAATTTGCCACTTACCCTGGGAATGAAAATTTCCCTATGCCATTTACTACCTCATTTCTAATCATATAATGGCCTTGTCTCATGAGGATTGAGGTTCTTCTATTAAAAAAAGAAATCCTATAGTGACTTGTATAAACTTTCCATAAGTAGAATGACCCAAAGAAGATAATTACTTTTTTAGATTTTAAATAGTTTGATTCATTGGCTTGTGAATCCAAATGGCTTTCTATAGATCCACAGAGGGACACCTGCTGTGGTTTTGCTTGAAACAGAGGTAAGAGTGCCTCATCCTGTCATCCACAAGTATTTCTATGAAGTCCCGATTTTATATACATTCATAGCCTCTTTTGTGGATAAATTCTGGAGGTTTAGCAACCATAGTGGAAAAAGTATGGAATTTGGAGATAGGAAATTTGGAGAGAAATTTGGGTTCCTTCATATCCAGCTGTGGGATTCTGGGCAATTCTTAACTTCTTTGAATTTCAGATTCTTCTTTTGGAAATAATGACATGAATTAGAATGTCTGCCCTGCCTGTGCCTAGAGTCACTGTGAGGATCACATGTGGGTGGATGTGCTGGGCAAACCCTTAATGAAAAAGGTTATTATTATCATTATGCATGTTTAGCTTCAGGGACAACCTTCATGCGTCTACTTTGCTTCTTATTTTTGCCACTTAAAAAGGAACTTGTTAATGATTTTAATTAAGAGATGATAAGGCATGCTAGGTGAAGACTCTAGGAGGAGTGCAAAAGTGTTTTTGCTCACCTTGGACAGAAGTTTTTGATCTTTTGACTTGGAAAAGAAGAACCAGGATAAAAAATTATGTTTCTAGGATCTCAAAATAATTGTATTTGCTAATTTTTAATGCTTCACAATCATTCGCATCAAGGTAGAATTTTCAGGCAAAGAGGATTCTGATGCGCAAAAGCAAATGTATCCTATTGCAAGCACACTAACAGATGAAAACGAAAACAATATCATGTGGGAAAAAACTCTCTTTAAATTGTTTTTTTAAAAATTTCTAAAGCAAATCCGTTTTATGATTTTTACTTACCATTGCTAAAAGGGACTGAAGTTCAATCTCCAGGGTCTGAAGGGTTCGTTTCATCTCAGTAAGTTCATTACGGGCTGAGGTAGTGGCACCAGCATCGTCGGAAATTTGCTGCTGCAGCGTTGCGCTCTGAAACGCGTTAAGGCGAGTTAAGGTGTGCTAAGGCGTGGTTAAGGCTTAAGCATGTAATGATGAGGCGTAAGTACAGGGTGGGGTGGCTTTACCTTTTCGTTGAACCAGGCCTCCGCATCCCTGCGGTTCTGCTCTGCAAGGTCCTCATACTCAGCCCGCATGTTGTTCAGCAGAACCGTGAGGTCCACCCCCGGCGCCGCGTTCATCTCCACGTTCACGTTGCCTCCAGCGGCACACTGCAGAGCCTTCATTTCCTGAAAGAGATGTGGTTACATAAATTAGGATCTGAATGTTTTTAAAAGAGCAAAAGGGATATGATCCATATGCCTTAGAAACTTCATTGTTTTGAGGGGGATGAATAGAAATATTTCAATCGATCCAAGCCATATGGAGAATTTGGCAAGGCCGTTCTTAAATATCAATTTAAGATGATGTATTTCCCATCTGTTTGTGATAGCATAAATTTTGAGAGAGAGAGATGGGTGGTGCGAGTCAGGTAAGCAGAGTGTGTACCTCCTCATGGTTCTTCTTGAGGTAAGCTAGCTCCTCACTCAGAGTTTCCAACTGTATCTCTAGGTCAGTTCTGCACAAGGTCAGCTCATCCAGGACCCTGCGCAAACCGTTCATATCAGCCTCAACGCTCTGGTGAAGGGCCAGTTCATTTTCAAACCTTGGAAAAATGCAAGTTCCATCACATTAGTGAAATCACTTTTTAGGTCTTTGTAAGACTCAAACTTAACTTTGAGGTAAAAACTTAAAATATACCTAACACTTCAGTTAGAGCAGCCTTAAAGCAATAGATGTATTTCTTTGGAGAAAGAGAATGGGAATATCAAAATTCTCTTTTGTAGGACCTTGACATTTGTGTCAGTGCTAAATTTTCCAAACACATAATATAATAGATTCAAGCCTGAAATTAAGCTAGTGATTCCAATATGCATTTGGTTTAAAAAAACAGAACAAAAAAACCAAGCATTGAGCCAGTTTCAAATAATCTAAATAAAAGAGGGAAAAGATTAGGTACCTATTTTTCTAATTTATTTCAGCTCTACTCACTTTAGTCTGAAGTCGTCAGCTGTTAGTCTCGCATTATCATTTTGCAGGACAACATTGGCGTTACTTGTAGTTGCGGAAATTATCTGATAAATGAAGAATCAGTTAAGAGTGAGGAAATATTTTTTGAAAAGTCATTTAAAATTTCATTGAAATGAAGTTACCTATGAAATTATGTTAACATTTCTGTATTCTGTCTCCAATGATATGTTCTTTTAAAAATAGGAAATTTACATATAGCCTTTTTGAATCCCCACTCCACCCATAAAAACTATAGAAAAGCTAATAAATATATAGCTAGAGACATTGGGAAGTTTTTACTAAAAGCATAAACATGCGTATATAATACTCGCTGATGGATGGGCCATATTCAAAGATTAGTGCTTTAATATAAATTATTTTTAACATTAACAATGAGCTACCAACATTTATAAGTTGAGAGCAAAGTCCTCTTGTTTGTGATAGCATATACACTTTGTATGTGTGTGGCTAAATGTTCTCGTGTGTTAACACTCATGATATCGTGTTTCTTACCTGGTTCCTAAGGTCTTCAATTATTGGGAAGTATCTGCTGTAATCATGATCAAGACCTCGGCAAGAACCAGGCCCAAATTTCTCATACCACCCCTTGATCTTCTGCTCCAGGTCGGCGTTGGCCTCCTCTAATGCTCGCACATTCTCCAGGTAAGACGCCAAGCGGTCATTGAGATTCTGCATGGTCACCTTCTCATTGCCAGAGAGGAGGCCATGTTCATTTCCAGTGAAGGCAGCACAGGAAGCACCTCCCCCGCCCAGCCCCACACCATAACCTCCTGCAGATGAGCTGCCCCCAAAGGCGCAAGAGAACCCACTGCCAATGCCTGGCACACCGCATGCGTTTCCGGCCCCAAAGCCAGCTCCTCCACTGGAGAGCCTCACAGAGCCTGCTCCCCCGCTTGAGCCCAGCCGTCTGGATGCAGAAGAAAAGTGCACAGACATGGTGTCTAGACTGGAGCGTCTGTTCCTAGAGTGAACTTCTGATGGTGAATGCCCTGTTGAAACAGTTTCGTTTGCTTTTATATACACATTATTAGGGTGTTTCTCGATTAACTTTGCTACCCATAGCAAAATGGTGTTTGCCAGCTCATCCTAAATTATTCATAATTGGGTGACTTTTTTTTTTTTTTTTTTAATGAATGTCTTTACCCTACTGTGTCCATTTTTGTAGGTGGATAGTTACCTTGGGGTTATTTCTTATATCTGGAATGGGGCAGGGTAGAGTATTATCAAGGTTATTATAGTGATGCATTTCAAATTTAGTGTGAGTAATTCTTCCTGTCCTCAGGCTTCAGGAATAAAAAATTCCTTTAAGAGTAAAAAAAGCGTGATGAAGGAATTTCTCCTTTCTTTGCCCAAGCCAACACATTGCATTTTCTCTAGCAAGTGAAGTATCATGGTCCTAGTTTGCAATAGATGATATGATCTTTCTTTCAGATATGCTGAGAGTAATTTGAGACCATGGAGCTGTAGTATAAGCCAGGTCTTAAATGGAAATTGATGAATTAAATGGAAACTCCTCTAGAGACAGAAAGTTTTGCCTCGATCTTTATCCCTCTGGAGTACCATTTCATCTTTTACTGGTTTTCTATCTATGCTTTGTTGCTAATCATGTTAAATAAGAGAATCAGTTAAACTGTCTGGGTCTCAGTTTTTTCATATGTAAAATGAAGAGCATAGGCTTCCAGTAGTTGGCCTCTATGTTCCTTTTCTAAGGAGCTCTGGTGGCACTGTGGGTAGGGCATTTGGCTGTTAACCTGCAGGTTGGTGGTTCAAACCCACCAGCTGCTCTGTGGGAGGAAGATGAGCCAATCTATTCCCATAAAGGTTTACAGCCTTGGCAAACATGGGTATATGGGTGGATAGATGGGTGGACAGGCTGGACTATTAGGTATGTCTATGAAGTGGGGAGTGTATCCAAGAACATATATAGGGTTGGCAGACAATGGTCCTATAAGTTTATGTGAATGATCAGAATTCCCAGGTATATAGTAGAGC